AATAATACCTGTAATGACAACTTCTAGAAGGACACGCGAACTATGTAAATTTGTGGCCTTGTGTTCTGTCCAAATATTGCTGCAGTGGGAAGGACCACTTTGACGTTGTATGCAATTTCGTTTCCTTTGAAATTGTTAAAATCCTTTAATAGGTCATCCTTCAGTCTCTTTGTGGATGTTGGTTCTTGTTATCGTCTTTAACAATTTCCACAGGTAATTCTCTGTTATAAGATTATTGGTTTAGTCTATAAATGTTTCACTTCTAGAATGTTCACAACTTTCTGTCTATGTCATTTCATAGTTTATCTTGCTTCATTTATCTCATTTCTGTGTGCTTGCAGTTGAATAATTTGGTGGTAGAAGACACTCCGAATTGCTTAACTGAAGGGTATCTAGTAATCTCAAATTTTGGAGATTCTCTACTTGATAAGCATGTTGAATTTAGGAGGGATGAAATGCCGATTCAGTAGTTTCAAGCAGTTATGTCATGGAAACAACTGCAAACAGATGCTGTATTTGACAATTACAAGGAAGTGAAGGTTAAACGATCCCTCAGGCGTGGAAATCGTATTGATTATCACTTACTTGATAAAAGCTCCAAAGCAGAATCTTATTGTGAAAAAATCATGAAGGTTTACCTCCTTCTTGCATGATTTTCAAATTGGTTACATTCTGCCTTCATTTGTCCACTGTGGATTCACCACTACCATTTCCCAAACATTTTCTTGTATCTTCATAACTATCTTGTTTTGAAGAGATTACCTTGTCATTGGCTCCATCTGCTTCAATCCAAAATGTTTCCAAGGAAATTTTTTCTCTGCAAAGTTTGAAGCACTATTATTTGTTCCCCGTGCTAACCCAAGAAACACGATAATTTTACTGAAGTCTTGGCCTGCTTCTAACTAATAGGGTTCTGAAATGTTTGTTTTCTATAGTTCCATTAGTTGTGTGAATCTTGTTTGGGAAATTTATCATCTTCCTGAATCCGATCTACAGAAAATTCTCTTTGTGCTAGTTATTAATTTTCTCTCCGAGAAACTTCCTTAAAATATATTCCATGAAACAGTGGAAAGTAAGCTTCATGAAGCTATATAGATACAGAAGCAAAGGCTTAGTTCCATCGAAATAATGGAGCCTTAACCAATGTTTTATGTACAAAATTTCTATTTCAAATTGCCGATCTCTCACACCCAAGTCTTCTCAGTTATCTTATATCATTTGCTACTCACTTTGATGCCCTAGAGATAAAGAAAGTATGTAGTACAAAAATTGTCATTATTTCATGCATATAGCAGACTTTTATGCTAGTAGGTATTGGTGCTCTCATATAATCATTTCAAACTCTATTATCCGTGAAAATAAGATAGTCATGTTTATATCACACGTGAAGTGACTATAACTCTCTCGTCTCTCGCTCTAACTAATTTTACTCCAAAACAACTAATTCTTATTAGGTAAAGAATTTAATTACCATTAGTGGTTAGACTGAGCAGCATCCCTTGTCACCTGCGAAGGGGGAATACACAATTCAAGTATCCCTTGGGACATGAGCATGTGTCTTACTTACCAAAATCAATAAATAAACACACAAATAATTTACCATTTGTATAACTTAAGTTTATTTTAATATTAGTACTTTGCAATTGATTATTGAAACTTGAGAATGTAATTTTTTTTTTTTTTTTTTAATGGTATAATCTATTTGTTATAAATAGATTGGTAGTTCTAAACGATTAGAACAAATAATTAACTATACTATTATTTGAGGGTTTTCCCTTTGTAAAAGATAAACTATGCTTACATATTTCTAATAAATTTTATTTGTCAAAGTCTGTATTTATGGAAGCATATGTGCTAATATAAGACATTGGATATGTATCTATCTACTCTTAACATCAGAAAGATAAAAATATAATTTTCATTATAAGTTTTTACCTTATTACAAAATGTTAAAATATTTTTTATACGTTTAAAAAGCATTATTAGTGCTCCTCACAACTCAATACATTTATGAATCAGTAAATTTAGCTGTAATTAAACATTCTGTTTAGTCAAAGGAAATATGCAAAATGCGTACCAGTGATTTTCTATAATATATTACTATTTATCAATTTGCCTTGCTTTACCTGTCATTATCCGGATCGTGTGATTCTATAAATTTTCTATCCAAAAGTACTGAATCGATCTTGATCCCGTAAAAATCCCTGGAAGGTAGAATCTTTGTGGAATCCCTATAAGATCATAGGAATTGGGGGATCCCGATTGTATAGTAATAGAATGTTTTTTTTTTTTTTTTTTAGTTAAAGGTAAGCTTGTATTGAAGATAAAGTAGATACATGAAGCCCTCAAAGAAGAGGGGAAAACAAAATCACATGAAGGCCAAGGCCAATAACAGAGACAAAAAGACAACAAAAGGTTAAAGGACCTATACAATACACAGCAACCATTGAAACATGGCAAAAACCAAGTCTTGTTTCTTGTGAACAAAGAAGGGAGACACTGCTATCTTCCAATCACAGCTTCTTGTACCTTTCAGAACCTCAAAAACCAGTGATTCAGCTTTAAGTAATCAACCAAGAGTGCCCATAAGCTGCTCCACAAGCCTGTGCAAACAAATTGTGAAGATCACCCTCAGCTGAAATCCCCCTTAGCTCAGCACAGTTTTTTAACTTAATTGCTACTAGTTTAGCTCGAACACAAGATTTGACTTGTGAGAAGATGTGATTAGGGCTGGAGTATGCATTTCTGAATGCTCTTCTATTTCTCTCCAACCAGAGATAGTAGATTGCTGCAGACAACAAGAGTTTATGAACTAAAAATTTTCCAGAGGACCAATGAGTTGAGCACCAGTTAATCAGCTCATTCCAGCAGTTGGGTAGAATATAGAATCTGGCAAACTCTTGTATAGCCATCCAAACATGTGAACTGAAACAACATTTGAAAAACAAATGATCCATTGATTCATTCTCAGCCATACATAGATAACACCTGTTAATATAATGCTTGTGAAGCATAGGCTTTGAATCCAATGTATACAGTCTACCTCTAACAGCAAGCCAGACAATGCAACTATGTTTAGGGATGTGATGTTTGAACCAAATTAATTTGTGCCAAATAAAGGATGGAGAAGGAGGGGCAAAGTAAGCAATAGTTTGGTAGAATGAGTAAGCTCCAGAAGAATTAGGCAACCAATGAATACTATCCATTTGCTCTGAAGGAGATTGTAAAGAGTACAGCTGAGAAAGAAAATTAACAGACTGAAAAAATTGAGGGTAAGCTAGAGATATAGGGATCATCCAATGTCCATTAGAAATTAGGCTATCAACTGTGGCTGAGGAGTCCAGTTGAAGAATTTCCAAGTCATTTAATCCCAACTGATTTACAATTGGGCCCTTTGGAAGCCAAAAGTCCAGCCAAAGCTTTGTGTCCTTTCCGTCGCCAACCTTAAAATAAATGATACTTCTAGCCATTTCTCTGAGCTTCAACAGGTTCCTCCAAAAACCAGAGCTGAGTGAGGTTGCCCTTAGGTACCAGAAACTCTTCTCCTTAATAAGATAGTCATATGACCAAGCAACCCAAAGACTTTCCTTCCTTAGACATAATTTCCACATATGCTTAAGGCATGCAATTCTGTTAGAGAGCTCGAGGTCAGGAAATCCCAATCCCCCATAAATTTTGGGTCTACATACTGCATTCCAGGCAACCTTAGCTCCACTTTTCTTCATCTCAACCCCAGACCAATAGAAGCTCCTAAGAATCCTGTTAATTTCATCAAAGACCTTCCTAGGTAACACAAAAGCTTGAGACCAGTAAGCTTGGATAGAACACAGCACTGATTTAATGAGGACTGCCCTTCCAGCATAAGAGAGAAACTTAGATGTCCAAGAGCCAATTCTTTTAGTGATTCTTCCCACAAGTGTTTGACAATCCCTTACCTTAATTGCTGTAGCAGAAAGGGGCATTCCCAAGTATGTTACTGGTAAAGTACCAGCATCAAATTGCAAGAGTGATAAAATAGAGAATTTTGTGTGAGAATCCACCCTTGAAAAGAAAATTTTGCTTTTGGCAGGGTTAAGTTGTAGCCCAGAAAAAGAACAAAACAGGTTAAGAGCATTCACCAAACTTTGTACTGAATCAGAATTTGCATGAGAAAACATCAACAAGTCATCTGCAAATGAGAGATGAGTGATACCCAATTTTCTGCACCTCTAATGATACTTGAAGCTAGGATTTTGCCTGACTTGGTGGTTAATTGTGAGAGTGAGAACCTCCATTGCAAGGACAAAAAGCAATGGAGAGATGGGATCTCCTTGTCTAATGCCCCTCCTTCCCTTAAAAAATCCAAACAGTTCACCATTGAGGGAGATGGAATAGGCTGGGGTGGTGATGCACTGAGATATCTAATGAATAAATGTTGATGGAAAACCAAAGAGATGTAAGAAGTCAAGAATAAACTGCCAATGAATTGAATCGAAGGCTTTCATGAGGTCAATTTTTAGAGCACAATTAGGGGGATGGTTAACCTTATTGTAACCATTCAATAATTCATGGGCTAGAATAATATTTTCAGTGATATGTCTCCCTTTAATAAAAGCATTCTGGTTTGGGCTGATTAGGTATGGAAGTAAAGGTGCAAGCTTGTTAGCCAACAGCTTTGAGATGGTTTTGTAAATAAGGTTGCAGCATGAGATTGGTCTAAAATCATTAACTGTTGAGGGATTAGGGATCTTTGGTACTAGGGCAATGTAAGAACAATTGATCTCAGTGAGCATTTTGCCAGTGATGAAAAAGTCTTTAACAGCTGAAATGACATCCTGACCAATGATATGCCATGTGTGTCTGAAGAAGGCTGAATTATATCCATCAGGACCTGGGCTTTTGAATGGGTGAAATGAAAGTATGCAATTTTGAATCTCAAGGCCAGTAGGTATAGAGGTGAGGGTAGGAATGACATGACTAGGAATAGTTTTAGTAATGAGATGGGAAAAAGATGCCATACCTTAATAATGTGTATAATCCTGCCCAAGAATAGTGGTGAAATGGGTGAGAAATTCATTCTTCATATCCTCCCCAAACAGTTGAGAGCCATACGAGTTAAAAATTGATTGGACTTTCCTTCTGTTAGCCTTTGATCCAAAACTCCTCATGAAGAAAGCAGTGTTCTGGTCCCCCTCCTTGAGCCAGTGCACTTGGGCTTTCTGTTTGTAGAATAATTCTTCTGCAAGTGAGAGCTCAGTGAACTTGGAAGACAGCTCATTTTCATTCAATCTAAGTGAGTCATCATTAGGGTTGAGGTCCAAGCTTCTTTGACAGAGTGAAAGCTCCTCTCTGCAGGCTGCAATTCTAGCTGAGATATCACTAAAGGATGCTTTATTTAGCAGCTTAAGAGGTTGCTTCAGTGATCTCAATTTCTGTACAAGTATGAACATTCTAGAACCATGGATCACTCTCTGCCATTCCTGAGAAACAATGATAAAAAAGGAGGGATCTAGAGTCCAAAAGTTAAAGAACCTAAATGGGATGTTTCTTTTAGGAGTAAGTTCTCCAAACCTTACCACCATTGGAGAGTGGTCAGAGATACCCTGTGGGAGGAACTCACATTCAGCTTGTGGGAAAAGGGAAATAAAATTGAAATTAACCAGGACTCTGTCCAGCTTTCTTGTGATATTGGCACCTCCATAACTTCTATTTGACCAAGTGTGAAAAACCCCAGTGAACCTCATGTCTTCCAGCCCATTTCTATCTAAGCACTCCTTAAAATCTTGCATTCCTGTTGTCCATCTAAGAGCTCCTCCAAAAGAGTCATTCACATGAAGCAAGACATTAAAGTCACCCATCAAAATCCATGGCTCACATGAAAGGCTAAAAGAATTTAGTGATCTCCATAGGGATTTCCTATCCACTGCGGTATTAGCAGCATAAATAAAAGAAGCCAGTACCTTCTTTTTGAGGTTAATAAGCTCAATTTCACAGTTAATCACCTGACCATGCTCCACTGCTCTGAGCATTGAAACTTTCTGAGGATCCCATAGAACCCAAACCCTTCCTAAAATTGAGGATAGGTAATTGCATTTGATTTGCCACTGTGGGGCAATGAAGTGATGAATAGACTGCATATTGTCACTACAAACTTTGGTTTCCAAGATTGCTATAAGACTTAGCTTTGATTCTCTAATAAGACACCTGATCTCTATTTGCTTGAGGGTAGAGTTAAGCCCTCTAATGTTCCATGCAGCCCAATTCATTTGGAGGAGGATGAGAGGTTACAAAGACCCCTAAACCCTTTCAAGGAAACACTGCTAACAACTGGTTTGATGACTTTAGGCCTTTTTGCAAGTTTTGAATGCTTTGCATTAGTTGGTTTTCTAGGCTTCAACAATTTATCCATAATAGGGATATCCTCAGTGTCTTGATGATTCTGTGAAGAGATTTCATCAGATGAGGAAGCTGGGTTTTCTGAGTAATCTTGGACCCCATTGTTATCATCATGAGAAAGAGCAGCAAATGAATTAGTGATCTTGACCTCTGAAGAATGAGCAGTAACAGGACTGTGAGATTTTGGATTATGAGGTGAGAGGTCAATGACTAAATTGATAGCTTTTGCCATTCCTTTCTGAGGTGAAGGTGGGTGATTTATATTCTCCTCAGAAGAGCTCTGATGACCATTAGTAAAATGAAACTTGGGATTTGCTTCAACTGACAATGGTGGGTTGAGGGTTGGTTCTAAAACCAATTGAGGCATGGTAGTTGTGCTCATTGATCTCTGGGGGTTGGGGTTGTGAAGAACAGCTTGTGAAGGTAATGCTTTAGAGACACCCACCTTGATAGGGACTGTACTTTCAATATGTGGATCAAGAACATGTTGAGTAGAGTATGAAGGCGATACTACAGATTGGGGGTTGGAAGTTGATACATCCAGCTGTGCATTGCAGTCAGAGTTGGGGAAGGGGTTAGGGATTGGCTGACAGTAGCTTTTACCTCTCCTCTTGGTGACAATTTGCCATTCTTGTGAGATGGGGGGAACAGGGTTATTCTGAACATTAATGTGCTGAGAGACAACAATTCCACTACATTGATCATTGGAATGTCCAAAGGAGGAACACATAGAACAAATTGGAGGAATCCATGGATATTGGACCTTCACAGTGGCAGTATCACCGCATTTTAGGGTTACAGGAAAGGATTTAGGAAGTGTAGAGTGTGGATATATTTCAACACATACTCTAGCATAGTCGATTCTACTCTTTTCTTGAGTGGTAGAGTCAGCTAGAATAGGTTTCCCTACTGCACTGGCTATATAACTAAGTCCCTTAGAGGACCAAAGCTCAAAGGGAACATTAAAAAGTTTAATCCAGAGTGTAAAAGATTTCACAGCATCAGAGTGAGGTTGTGCAGAGGGATCATGATTCCAAAGTCTGAGAAATACAGCTTTACCAGCAAGAAACCACTGCTCTCCACGTATTGAAATGCAACTATCAATGGAGTCAAACTTGAAGTAGAAAATACCTTCAGAGTTGGCAACTACATTCCTTAGGCCTCTTGAGTCCCAAAGCTTGTGTGCTTGTTTTGAGATAATTTTGTACGGCATTCTTCTCTTGAATGTTCCCACCAAGCAAGATTCCCAATACTTCATGCCACTGCTTCTAATCTCCTCTGGTGGATCCACAAGAATCGAGTCATTTCTGGTTGAAGGTTTGAAATAATGAAGCTCCCAATTAGAGGGTTGAGATTTTGCCACTGATGACCAGCTTTTTGAGGTCTGTTCATTTCTCTGTTCTGATGTAGCCTCGGGACGAAGTGGCTCAACAATGGGATAATTAGATTGTAACTGGTTTGGTAAAGAGGTTGGTGAAGCAGTTGGTTGACAGGTCAGTTGGTTCTCTTGAGAACTGTGAACATGTTCTGAAAAGTGGAGAGTGGGTTGAGCCGAAAAACCTGGAAAAGGCATTGTCACATCACAATTCAAATTCAAATTTGGATCAGCATTGTTGAATCCGACTGCCGGTGGCGCGTCAGTGATACTTGTCGGAACCGCTTGTATTCTGCTAACAAGATCTCCATTGGCAGGAGCAGTCTCTTTGATTCTCTGAAGTGCATCTTGTAACTCTTCATCCTTAGCCTTGAGGAGCCTTTTGAGTCGATCAATCTCTTTCAGTAGCTCGAGTTTAGACGCATCCATAATGGTTGCATCTGCTGATTGCTGCGATGGGGGTATGATATCTTCTGGTTGCTGCAGTGGAGAGATGGGTTTAGAAGGAGCCTTTTTGCACTGAGCAAGTTCCTCACTAAGCTGTAAGATTGTTTTATTCCTCTCCTTTATCATCTCTAGAGCCTTCCCCAAGTTTTCATCTTTCCATTCCAGCTGCTCAGTTAGTCTTTCAATTTGATGCTCTGGGGAATCATACAGTCTTGGGTTGAAGTTTTTTGGTAGCTGCTTAGGTGTGGCCTGGCTTGTAGAGGCGGGTTTGTTGATAGTGTGAGAAGGAGAACTTGCAGTGGTAAATGTGTGTTTTCCATTGAGTGAGGACTTATGGGGATTAATGGTGATCTGGTCTGATGGGTTACAGAGGATTTTACTTCTGTTTGGTTTACGGTTGATGTGGTTAGATGGGATGAATGGTGGTTTTAAATGGTTGGGAATGAGATTACTCCGAGAGGGCTTCAGGGATGGAATGAGAGAAGGTTTCAGAGGAGGTCTCATGGGCTTCACCTTACATTCGATGTTGTTCAACTTGATTATCATGTGATTGTCATCTGGGTCATTGAATTTTGGGTTCCGGCTAGTGTATAATTCAACGGCGAGGAGTGGGGTGACGCTAGTTCAAAGGAACTGTTGGTAATAGAATGTTACTCCTTTGTTCCTCTTTGATAAGTTAGGACCCAAGATCCTAATAATATCATAAAGGAAGATCAAGACCAACTTCAATGTCCTAAATAAGATAATTTTGTTAAGATTTTCTTCTCATTTTTCCGTCAAAACGATTCTCTTTCTAGGCTTTAAATTAATTATCTATTTAAACAATTGATTTAGGCAAACCGATTCCCCATATTTCTGAATAGTATGAATTTGACGTTGTTTCCTTTCCTTTTTTGGTTTTTCATCATTTTTTTCTTTTGGTCTGTTATTTTTCTATGCATTCCAAATTCTTGTCCTAAATCTTCTGTATTTTTTCATAAGTTATAGGTTTTTTCTCGTGTATACTCTAAGATATATTTAATGCACAAGTATTATAAGGTATTATCTTTGTCATTCAGTAGAATCTTACGATTCTCAATTCAATTGGACCCTAAACTGACCCAACACTGAATCCCCTATTCTAATAACCTTGCCACCTATAGTTATGATGTGTCATTGTTATGTACGTAGGTAAGATGAAGACTTTGTACTTGATACACATAAGATTCTTACGAAAGAATTCTTTTGCAGGATGATTCTTCCAGGGTGCTCAGGCAGCCCTCAAAGTCGAAAGGTACTAAATTAAATTGTTTTAGTTTAGTTGTTAAATCAATTCAGTCTACAACAGCTGCAGACGGGTCAGGAAGCAGACCCCAGGCCTCACGAGCCTCATGGCCTACATTTCAACTGTGGCTAACTGTTGGATTTTTTTGTCGTGTATAACTTTTATATGTATATCTATATATATATATATATTGTATTTTCTCAGAATCTTTCAACAAATATTTGATAATTGTTTTGGATGAAAACAGACTTAGTTCAGTTTTTCCTCTAAGTTCCTCTGAAGAGTGCATTGGATTTATTTTGTTGCTTCTTGGGATATTTATCATTTTATTTCTGCAAGGGCCATACCTGAGTTAACTTTCATATTTTCTGGGTCAAAAGCATACTTAACAAATTTTCTCCATTCTTGTGATGTTTATCAAAATAAAAATCGTTGTTTGTTTGATAAAGCAGATATTAGCTAGATGGAATTCTGATGAAGCATGCAGGCCAATCATTGATGAAGCTCCTGTATTTTATCCAACCGATGAGGTACTTTTGTATAAAGATGGAGATTAGATATTGTCCGGTCAATCGGTCATTTGATGCTACAACTCTAGTTAGTTATCTATTAACTAATAAACTAATAACTAATTCAACTCTAGTTAGTTATCTATTAACTAATAAACTAATAACTAATTTGTTGTTTGTTTTTTATGATTGCTTGCTTCATCAGGAATTCCAAGATACACTCAGTTACATAGCAAAGATACGCCCAAAAGCAGAACCATATGGAATATGCAGGATAGTTCCCCCTCCTACCTGGACTCCGCCCTGCCCACTTAAAGATGAAAGCATTTGGGAACATGCTAAATTTTCGACGAGAGTTCAGCAGGTTGACTTGCTTCAAAATAGGGAACCTATGAGAAAGAAAAACAGAGGGCGGAAGCGAAAACGAAGGAGTCATTCAAGGATGGGAAGTAGCAGGAGACGTTCAAGTCCTGAAGGTTCCAAAGGAATCAATATTTCTGACACTGATGAGAAGTTTGGATTCCAGTCGGGGTCAGACTTTACACTACAGAATTTCAAGAATTTGCCAATTATTTCAAGGAGTGTTATTTTGGGACAAAGGACATGGAGGATGACTCAAACACTAATGGTGTTGAACACAAGAAATGGGAACCCAAAGTTGAAGATATTGAAGGCGAGTACTGGTGGATCATTGAGCAGCCAAACATGAGGTTGAGGTATGTAAAATTTAAATATGGTATTCTGATAGCATATTCCATCTTATGTATCCTTCTATGTTTGTTTATTTATGAATGGTAGATGACCTTTATTCTGTAATATTGCAGGTATACTATGGAGCTGATTTGGAAACTGGAGTATTTGGTAGTGGTTTTCCGAAAGCGTCATCTTTGCTGACTGAAAAAAGTAATTCAGGTCAATGCGTGATTTCTGGTTGGGATTTAAATAACTTTCCATGCCTGCCTAGTTCTGTACTATGTTTTGAAGGATGCGATATCTCAGGAGTTCTAGTACCATGGCTCTAAGTTGGGATGTGCTTCTCATCGTTTTGTTGGGTAAGTCGTAGTAATTGCTATGATCCTATTTGTTTTTTTTTTTTTTTTTTTTAAATGCAAAGCATCATGTAGCCATTTGACAATTAAGGCTCATGGGTCAAAGCATACCTTTGATTTCACTCCATTGCTGACCTTAAGTTTTTCTTAAGGTCTGCTTTTCACTGTCCTATACCACTTCAAGCATCAAGCACGCAAGAAGACATGTGAGTAAATATATACGGGG